ATCTATATTCCTTGTTTCATTGTCCTTGTCCTTATCCAATTTTTCTTCCAATTCTATCACTTCATTCTCGATTTTCATGGTTTTTTTATTAAAATCCAACACTAAATGCATTTCCGATAATTCGTCTACTCCTACTATCATATCATGTGACATATTCGGCATTATCACACATTGTAGTGAAAAAAATTTCTTTCCCAATCCTACCCTAATCCGTATACCTTCATTTATCGTTGCCAAAGTTCGTTTATTTGCGCCCACTAAATTCACCCTAGGTATTTTGTAAATTAAATTTGTCAAACCAACTTCTTCTATCAATTTTCTATTTACGGGAGAGATTTCAGAACCTGAGTCTATCAAAATTTTTATGGGTGTTTCATTTATAAACCTATTTACAAAATTTAAATTTGATCCATTTACTATGTCCTTATGTCCGGCCAGTTTGATAAATTTTTTTGGGTGACAAAAACATTCCAGTTTGTTTTTTCGTTCTTAGTGGGCGCCTTCGTGAAAATCCTCCTGTTGTCTTTCTGTATTTCTTCTGTCATCACATTGTCTCTCTTCCCCGTATCCTTCTACTTGTGAGTTATTTCCCTCTCTTCTCAGTTCCCCTGGCCTTTTTGAGTTGTATCTGTTGTTTCGATATCCTTGTTCATTTGTTCTCCTGTAGTTGATATCTTCTTTATGGTTTGTGTAAGTATTTCTGTTACGATTTTCCCTGTATCTGTCCCTGTTTCCTTGTTGATTTCTTGATTCGTAATTCTCTCTCCTGTTTTCTCTATTCTCGTATTCTTTTCTCGGGATAAATTCTCTTTTTTGCCGTTCCTGACGATAATTTTGCTCCTTATCTCTGTAGTTCTGGTTTTCTTGTAGTTTTCTAGATCTTCTGTCTCGTAAAGGCGATTCTCTTATTTGTAAAAATTGACAAAGACTATCAATGTCTTTGTAATTTTGCAAAGTGATGTGGTCTTAACGTTTCCTCAAAATGTCTGGCAATCAATTCTACTAATTGCTCTGATGAATAATTGTATTCCAAATGTTTGGCGTTGTTGTATCCTTGTAATTCATAGGTTTTTTCTGACATTCCCATCCTTTCATTGTATCTCCCGTTCTGCAGTTCTTTATTGATTTCTAGTTGCTGCATTTTGCCCCAGAAATAATTTAAAAATCTTTTTTCAAAGTTTTCCCAATTAGTAATTTCATCTTTTTTACTGTCAAACCATAGGCTCGCTTCATCCTTGAGATGGTTTCTGATATTTTCCTTACAAACTTCGAAATTTTCAACGTACTGTAGTTATTTCTTTAGATTTTTTATGAAAACAACCGGATACATTTTTCTCACATCCCCGCCAAATTGGATTTTCACGTCGCCTGTACTTTGGATAAGTATTTCTCTTCTTTCTCCGAACTTTTGTTGATTCTTGATTTCCGCAATTTGTTTTTCGTTTTTCTTAATTTTTTCGTCTATTTCTCGCTTGTCATTTTGAAACGCATTTTCAAATTTGATTTCCAAGTTCTCTAGCTCCTTTTTATGATCGTTCTTTATGTCCTTCATTTTATTTTGAATTTTTGTTTCTTGGTCTTTCATTTGATCTTTAATTCTCATTTCTTGCTGTCCCATCTCGTTCTTCATCATTGTCAAACATTCTTTTCTTTCCTTTTCATACTTTTCTATGCGTTCCTCCATTTTTTTGTTTTTCTCCTCTACGGCTTGTTTTGTTTCCTGTTGATTTTTATTTATTGTTTGTTTTGTTTCTTCCATTGTTTGTTTCATTTGTTGTTGTGATTCCTCTACTTTCTTTGAGGTTTCTTGTTGATTTCTATCCATTTTTTGTGATTGTATTTGCATCAGTTGTAATATTTTCTCTAATCCTGATAATTCCTAACTTTCTTTCTCCATAATTGTTGTTTCGAAAATGTCTTCTTGTTCTCAATGTTCTCTTTGTTCCAAATGTTCTTCTTGTTTTTTGTTTTCTTTACTTTTGCTTCTCGTTGCAATCATTTGTTTATATCCTGAAATATTATCCCCGCCAAATGCCAACCTTAAATTTCCTCGATTCCTCGAAAAATTTTTCAAAATGTTATCAAACGTCAATAAAAAAAAATTAAATAAATTGTTAGAAAATGTAAATTTAGATAAAAATTTTAAATGTCATAAAAATTGTACCAAATTATTGTTCACTTGACCAAAAAAAAAAAAACTATAACCACCTGTTGCTTTTATTTTTCAAATTGAATCTCTTTCCAAATGTAACTAGTAATACTTTTTTATCAGCCCTCACGTTCTGGCGCCAGTGGATGTGATTTGCTTATAAATTGTAAATCTACTTATATAGTCTGAAATGTAATAAATTTATCTTTATCAAACAAATCAAAAGCAAAGAATATCTCGGGGCTAAAAATAATTTTTATCTTATTTTTTAAATTAAAACGTGGCTTCAAAGTATCTTCTGCTAGTTCGATTTAAAAAGATCAACAAAAGGAAAAAGAAATAATAGACAATCAATTCTGATATTAAAACAATTGGCCTTTATTTTAAAATATATCCAATTAATTTAAAATTCCGTTGGGGATAAATCTTACACCATACACTATAAATAGAATAAAAAATAATCAATCATCCATCAAATCACACATCCCTTAATGATCAATAAAAATTAAATACACATATTTCTAAATAAAATATCTCTTAATATAAAATTTTAGAAAGAATTATTGGTTCCTTGACTTCTTGTCTCAACTATAAAAATATTGCAAATTACAAACAATTGACATAAATGTTGATAGATGATCGTGATAGAATTTATCTAAAACTCAAAACTTTGTTGTGCCCTGATCAGATCGCAATGTACTTCCCGGATCCTACCAATTTTCCTGCTCGCTATTATGCCTACTATTTAGTAATGACTCTATTTCTACTGGAACTAGTCTCTGCTTAACACAATGGCTGCTTAATTTTCCACACAAACACTAAGCACTACTTCTTATAAATTCTCAAAAAAATGATTTCACCGGAACCGGTCTCTCTCGATGTTCAACTCACAATGTCTTCTTTTCCCTCATTTTATTCCCGGCAAGCTTTTCACCCCATTCTTCTTTATCCATCTTAAACCAATCCAAACAAACCTCCCCTCTCATCAAACGCATCATCGGTTTCTTAGTCCATTAAATTTTTGGTTTTTCCAAAAATTATCTGACGTTAAAGTACTTTCCTGCACACGACCTTGAATTCTTTTTTTAACTTTTGTAAAGGAGAAAACTCATTAACCAATAATCCTTACTTATTACTTTCTAATCTATTATAACCGAAAATTTTAAATAGTTGTGTACTAAATCTACCTGGTCATGTCCAAATCGTATTGTCTTTTTATCAGAGAAAACTTTCTATATCACTTATTTACATATTCGGAAACCACCCACGTTGTTCCCGGTAAATGGTTTATGATTTTACAACTAAACTATCTCTATATACAGGGTGTTCTCGATTTTTTTTTAATGGTCTTGTGATTTTAATTTTATTTAAAATTTGGGGATCTTATTAATATATATATATATATATATATATATATATATATATATATAATATATATATATATATATATATATATATATATATATATATATATATATATATATATGTTCGGAAAGATTTCCGCGGTTAGTACAATAAAACCTAGAGCTAAGATTAATATTCTTACTAAAATTAATATTAACTAGTACTGTAGTGTACTAGTAGTGATCGTGCAGTGAATAGTGAACAGTGCAGTAGTGTCTGGGGGCTCGGGAGACTGAGACCTCGGAAGCCCTGAGGAAGGCATCAAAGAGGATGCCGAAAGCTTGGCAAAATGGATTACGACGCGGTTCAACCCGGAAGACTGGTGAGTTTAATATTAATTTTAGTAATAATATTAATCTTAGCTCTAGGTTTTATATATATATATATATATATATATATATATATATATATATATATATATATATATATATATATATATATATAATATAGTACCAATTAAAAATATGTAAAAAATGCTTGATGCGGGTGTCGATCCTACAAATAAAAATCATCAACAGAGTGCTCTGCTCCTCGCCAAGTCCAACCTTCATTTCACAAAACTAGCAAAACGTTGAATATGAACTGCGAAAAAAATCATTATCAGTGTCTCGATCGACCGGGTTACAAATCTTGTTTATTTTTATTCCGACACAGTCTGAATCGAGAGATACGTTTTTTGTTAAGGAGTAGCGTTATATAAGCGTCTATATCCGTGGTATGAGTATACGGTTGTTAACTCTTGGGTTGTGCCAAAGCTAGTAATATTAATACCATACAAAGATTTCACAATAAAGTGCTAAGAACTATTTTAGATGCTTCTAGGTATATACGTAACTGTGATCTTTTTCAGTTCCTGGACATAGAGACTGTTGATAAAATAAACAAAAAACAGCAGCAAATCATGATCAGAGACACCATAGTCATGTGAAAGTCGAGCAATCAATATTGATACCAGCAAATAACAAGATTTAAAAAGACAAAACCTTCGAGTATGGTTTTAGTATTTAATATGAAATCACAGCATAATGAGATGTAATGTTGAATTGTAAGGTGTTATTAAACAATATTTATTAATAATAATATGAGGAAATCATACGATGGGCTCTTAATTTATGAGATTATATAAATTAAGCTGAAGATGAATTGCGTGCAATAGTTAAAAATGCAGAAGGAGTTTGTAAAAAAATATTAAAAATTAAATTTTGTTTAAAAATCTTAGTGTGAGAAGCTGATATCATTTTCAAACATTAATACACATCTTATCAATACTAAAATTAGGAAAAATTAATTCCTAATTAATCCTTGTAAAGCTATTATTGACATTACTTAGAAAGGTAACTTATTACACTATTGTGAACGTTATGAAAATAAAGTTTTTATTTGAAAAGACTGGTAATACTGAATTTAACTCATTTATTTTACTCCATATTATCATTTTTTAACTTACTTTCCTTACGGCTATTGTTCCATTGGAACACCACAGGACACCGCCTGAAAATTCTGAAGTAATGTTGTGTCTTCCTAAAACTTGTTTAAATTCAGATAATTTTAAATCATTTATAAAAACTGGATCATGACAGTCTCCTTCTAGTACAGGTTCCAGCGTCAAAATTCTTGTGTCCACATCTTCAACTAAAATATTAAATAGAGATAAAAAATATAACTTGGATTATATAAGAAATAGTTTACCTTCCATTGGTTCATCATCAACATAAACACGCTTAGCGTCTGCTTGACTCTCTTTAAGAACTACGTTCGCTGTAATCCAAGCTACCTCTGCTTCTTTGGCTTTTTGGAAGCTTAACTGTGAGACTAGTGCATCTGTTAACCTAACCTAAAATTTTTTTAATGATATTACAGTCTATTAACCCATTTTGTGGCAATAAAAATATATTAAACATCGACAAAACAAATATTTGTTTACAGTATTGTGTAGTTAGTTAAAACAAAAACACCCAAATCGGCAAAAAATTCCCCTAAATTGATCTATTAAATATCGAGATATATATTGAGATTTGGGAGGTATAAACTTCCACTGAATACCATCTTGTGATAAACCATTTGCTGCGATGCTATTCGCGCGAGAAGAAAGAAATGTGTTTAATTCGTTGTTAGCTCCTACAAGTGTAGTTGTCAGAATGTATTTAATTGCATTTACCACGTCTCGAAGTAAAACGACGTAGACATGCTAGGAAGCACTCAGTTGTGAGATCGCTGACTACCAGAATATATCTGCACCTATCAGTAAGTCAATAGGAGCAGGTTTGTTAAACTCAGAATCAGCCAAAGTAATACTTTCTGGAATGTTTAGTTTGTCAGTACTAATTGGCAAGGATGGCAAGTTATCAGTAATGCGAGTTAAGACAACGCAAGTTATACGTCTTTGAAAATTGTTGATGTTGGATTTGAACAGTAAAGAAATGGAGTATGTAACCTTAGTTTGCAGTTGATTTATTCCGGATATGGAACTATCAATTTGAATTTTAGGCAATTGTAGAATATTTGTAAGTTTGTCAGAAATGAAGTTTATTTGGCTTCCACTATCCAGAAGCACTCTACACTGATGTGGATTGTTGAAGTTGTCAAACACTGTAATACAAGCAGTTGAAAGGAGTGTTAGAGGTGGTGTGAAAATACTAGATGTCAAGCTGACAATTTTATTTGAAGTGCTGGGGATAGATCCAATATCGGTTTTTGAAGTGCTCTGAGTAGCTTGAATCTGCTCCCTTTCATTATTTTGAAAGTGAAGCAAAGTGTGATGTATTTTCCCACATTTTCTGCAACCAGAAGGCTTCCAGTTTCGTGTTATATGATTAGAGCCTAGACAGTTGATACATAACCTTAAACGTTTCGCAGTATTTAATTTTTCAACCGCTGTTAGTTTCAAAAATGTGTCACAAGTGTACAAACTGTGACTATCATTGCACAAAATGAAAGTAGTTGCAGTGGTAGAAACAAATGATCTTGTGGGCCTATGTGATTGTTTCAATGCAGTGTGTTTCGTGTGATCTTCGTCCTGATGCTGGGTTAATGATGATAAGATACGACAACGTTCTTCCAAAAAGGTGAGTAAATTTTGCAAGGTTGGAATGGTCTTTGCATCAGTACGCGATTGCCAAGCTCGTTTTGTTATGTTATCAAATTTATTAGTAACAAAGTATATAATTAAATCATCCCAATGTTCAGTAGGCCGTTGTAGCACTTTTAATGTGTTCAAGTTCTTCTCGATTCCGTCGCGAATTGATGTTAAACCGTGATAAGATTCTTTTGTTAAAGTAGTTAGATCAAAAAGAGCCTTATTGCGATTTTTAATAAGAATCTGTTTGCCCTCAAAACGATCTTTAAGTAGTTTCCAAGCAATGTCATAATTTGCGTCACACAATTGTAATTATTTGACTTTGTCTGCTGCTTTTCCTTGTAGGGAAAGCCGCAGATAGTGAAATTTTTGTACTTTAGACAGAGATGAATTTTCATGTACAATGGATGTAAAACTATCTCTAAAGAAAAGCCATTGGTCAAAAGAACCACCAAATGTTGTTAAGTTTAACTGTGGTAAACGAATGTTTGAAAAGTTACTTTCTGCCGAGCTAATAGTTTTGTTCTCGGAGATAGTCCCTGACTGGTTTCTGACTGATTCGCATGCGCAGTGCTGTTTTCAAGCGTTCGCGGTGTTAAAAATCCGAGTCTCTGACAGCGAGTACGATGTTCGCGGAGTATTTCTAACTGGTTCATGATCAGTCCATTTGGTACATGAGCCAGAGTGTGGATTTTTAGTTGGCGCAAGCGCAAACGCTATAGAAACTGAAATTGTCCGATTTTTGTTTGCATAGTTTTGTTTGCATACACAAGTAATATATATTTTTAGATTGTCTTTGCTCTTCGATAGCTTGTAGTGGACTGTATTTTTGTTCGGTGCGTAGCTTAGTAGTTGGACTAAAAGATCTATGTTTTTTTATTGACTAGTTTTAGCAATTCACTTAATAATTCATCTGAACCAGCAGCTTTATTATTTTTCATGGATATTATATTCAACATCGCATTAGAGAAAATATTTATCAATCATTATCAATTACATCACATCAATATATTATTTATCATCAATGGGCGTTGTTAAATACTAACTCAAGGCTGGATTGGAACATTTTGGTAAAAAATTAGTTAATATATTGTTTTAATTACTGATATGTATAAGTATATTCAGTTTTATTTAAGTGCTTCTAAGTGAGAGCCCCCACCAAACTGGCGTGGCTAGTAGCAAGTAGCACGCTTCTAGCATGTTACTTAAAATGTAACCAATGAAAACGAATGATTCAGCGCACACCAAAATGACAGTGACGTGAATCATTCTAATCATTCGTTTGCATTGGTTACATTTTAAGTAACATGCTAGACGCGTGCTACTTGCTACTTGCCACGCCAGTTCGGTGGGCGCTCTCACTAATATGCTTTGAAATTCAAAAGAATCAATAGCTTTTATGAAATATACGAATGGGATGACAAATGATGAGTGATACTCAATGGACTTTTACATATTTTTTTGTATGTTATGAACAGAAATACACAAAAAAAACTTACTTGGTAAATATGTGTTTCGCTTGTAGCATCAACAATTTCTCCTCGAGATGGCGTAAAAACTCTGGCTTTTATACCTTCACAATGTTTTGCTATGACAGATGTATTTTCCTCGGTACCTCTAACGACTATTACTCTTCGAGGTTTGAGCTGCGATAAAATTTTCATAAGGGATTCTCCATCAGAGCGACCCTCAAAATCGATGTAATGTACTTGACAATTAACTTGTACAGTTCTCTGAAGTACTATGCATTTTGTTGGCTGTTCATGTATTTCAGCTAAAAAAGTTGTTGATTAAAATCTATTTAAATGAATTTTAATTAAAAAAATCAATCAGTAAAAATTATCGCACAAACTGTTCTATGGTTTATGTCAAATTGTTAATGTAAAAGTTAAAAGGTTATATAATGGGTAAATTTTTTAATCAAATACTTCTAACGCTATTGTTAATTAACGTTAAAACAAATACAAGTTTGTATCTAAGAAAAATCTATAGAAGACTAAGAAAGAAAACCAGCAGACAGGACGTCAGTAATATGTATAGAAATACAAAGTTGATTAAAGTTCTTTTATGATAAGAATGAAATGTCATTCTAGTAACTTTTAATGTCCAGTCATACAGCAAATTCCCTATGCATAGATTCTGATATTATCTAGTAATATTTAGTGAATTGCTAGTTGGCAAAATATTGCAGTATTGTTAGTTCATTTCTCGCGGCTGTTTGTTATTGTGTTTGTGAATTGAAGGTTACGTCGTGTTGGCTATTTACTTTGTCGTTTCAATTTTTGCTCCAAATTAAATGTTAAATTATAAATTAAAAATTGTAAATATCTCACGAAAGTTATATATACAACAAACAACAATTAAATTTTGTATTTGTTAATGTCAGATAAATTGACAAAACAATATTTTTATTTTATTAATAATATTATCATGGTAAATTAAACATATGCGTAAGTAAGTTAAAAGTAGTGAATATTACATTTTAATTTGTATTGTATTATTATATTGAATTATGTTGCAGTGTATTGTATTTTTATATTAATAAAAAACAACCAATGAATTTTACTGCAGAGTAAGTGTAAACAAATTTTTTGGCATTCAACTCCTTTCATACATATATGAAAATGAAAATATACATTTTCATCCAAATATTGATTCAATCCTTCATTTACTATAATCCTATTACGGGTCAACTCCGCCTGTGGTGACTAATGGGTGGATTGAATAGCTCAGGAGTCACCATTGCCGGTCCTAAGCCCGGGTAAAGGAGGAAGGTTGGGCAGTGGGCTAACAACCCACTCCCGGAAAAACACACTGTTATGAAACCTAAACATTTGCCTCGGAACAAGGGGAACTTTCGGAAACGACTAAAGCTACGAAACATGGACTATGCATTTGGAAGTTGGAATGTGAGGACGCTAAATAGACCAGGAGCTCAAACTGCACTTCTACAACAACTAAAAAGATATAATCTTATGACCACTGCTCTTCAGGAGACAAGATGGCTGGGGAAAGGTGTCAGGGACACCAAAACGCACACAATTCTATATAGTGGCAAAGAACAAGGAATCAAAGAATGTGGAGTTGCATTTGTGGTAGATAATGATTTTAAGTCAAAAATCATAGACTTCCAGGCAGTGAATGAAAGGATATGCAAACTAAGAATTCGCACCCACTTCTTCAACCTTACTATGATAAACATCTACTGCCCAACAGATGAACAAGAGCAACATATAAAGGAAAGCTTCTACCAACAGCTGGAGATAGTATATGACAACGCGCCAAAAAATGACATTAAGGTTATAATGGGTGATATGAATGCCAAAATAGGCAAGGAACCGCAGTTCTATGGCACAACAGGGAAACACTCACTGCACAATGAAACAAGCGAGAATGGGGAGTTTTTGATAAATTTTGCCACCAGTAAAAACATGGTTATAAGCTCCACATGCTTCCCACATAAAGACATACACAAAATGACGTGGATCTCACCAGATGGAACCACAACCAATCAAATTGACCATGTGATGATAGACAAAAGGGCAGCCAGTAGTATCTCTGATGTGAGAACACGACGAGGAGCATGCTGTGGATCAGACCATCTTTTACTGCAAACCAAATTTAGGTGCAGAGTTAACAGAGAAAGAAACGAAAGACAACAAAGAACAAACAAACTAGACCTGGAAAAACTGAAGACTCAGGAATGTAGAGAGAAGTTCGAGCAAGAAGTCACAAATGAGCTAAGGACACAAGAACTGCACTCCATAGAGAGCAAATGGAATAATATCAAAACAGCAGTGCTGACAGCAGCAGCGTCCACCGTGGGAAACAAGAAAAAGAAGAGAAGAGGAACATGGTTTGATGACGAGTGCAGGCAAGCGATAGAAGAAAGAAACGAAGCGCACAAAATGTACATAACAAGAAGAACACGGGAAAGACGAACATTATTTGAAGTCGCAAGACGGAAAGCAGACAAGATATGCAGAAACAAAAAGAGAGCTTATGAAAATGGACAAATAGAAGAAATGGAACAAAATTTCAAAAAAATGAAATTAGAGGAGCTTACGAATACCTAAAAAAGATAAAAAGTGGATATAAACCTCAAACAAGCCTATGCAAAGATGAAAGTGGGCAAATAATCAGTGACCAACAGAAAGTCACACAAACCTGGAAGCATTATTTTCAGACCCTACTTGGAACACAAGTAGATATGGAAGATGAAATGGGTACGAATCATGTAGAAGAGAACGAAGTTGAAGTAGAAGCTCCAACCATAGAGGAAGTTCTCGAAGCTATTAAGGCCCAGAAAAACAATAAAGCCCCGGGAGTTGACGAGATTCCAGCAGAACTGTATAAGGTAGGTGGCAACCACCTATCAAGTCATATCCACGCGCTTATCAAAGAAATATGGCAAGAAGAGAAAATACCCGACGAATGGAAGAAAAGTATAGTATGCCCAATCTATAAAAAAGGAGACAAACTCCAATGCAAAAACTACCGTGGAATTTCTCTACTATGTACAGCGTATAAAGTCCTCACGTATATTATAAACCAGCGACTCCAACCACTAGCAGAAAATATTATTGGAGAATATCAGACGGGCTTCAGACGGGGAAGATCGACAATGGATCAAATATTTACAGTCAAGCAGGTCTTGAGCAAATCGTGGGAACACGACATTGATGTTCACAACGTGTTTGTAGACTTCAAACAGGCATACGATTCAGTTAAAAGGGACAGACTATACTATATATTGGCAGAATTAGCAATACCACATAAGCTAATTAGACTCATTAAAGCCACAATGGATGAAACTCAGGCATGTGTACGAATACAAAACAACCGGACAGACTTTTTCAAAATCTCGCAGGGACTAAAGCAGGGAGATGGGCTGGCACCAACATTGTTTAACCTGGCACTGGAGTATGCGGTCAGGCAAATGCAAACTGGACGAGAAAACCTACTGACCAATAAAACGGTTCAACTGGCTGCCTACGCCGATGATATTATTATTATGAGTAGAACATCAACAGGAGCACAGGAAGCATACGCAGAGTTAAAAACACAAACGAAAAGGCTAGGTCTGGAAATTAACACAGAAAAAACAAAAATAATGGTACAGGCGAGAAGAAATATAATCCCACAAAACATTATACATGAAGATGACATTGAAACGGTTGGAAAGTTTACATACCTGGGAGTAGAAATATATGCCGATGGAGCAGAGGATGGAGAAATACGAAAAAGGATAACGCAGGCAAACAAAGCTTATTTTGCCCTCTCCCATATATTTCGGTCTAAAAGTGTCCACCGAAATACAAAGATGAGAATATATAAAACTTTAATTCGGCCAATAGCATGTTATGGCAGCGAAGCATGGGTCCTGAAAGAAACATCCAAAAACAAACTCGACACATTCGAAAGAAAAGTACTGAGGAGAATACTAGGACCTGTGAGGGAAAACGGAATCTTCAGAATTCGATATAACAACGAGCTCTATCAACTGTATAAGGAAACACCCCTGTCAAACTTCATTAGAATCCAAAGATTGCAATGGGCCGGACATGTGATACGAATGGGAGAGGATAGGCTACCAAAACGAGCACTGAACGCCAGAATGCAGGGAAAGAGACCAGTTGGAAAGCCAAGAAAGCGCTGGGAAGACACAGTAAGCAGCGACGCACAAGCACTTTTAGGAGTCCGTGTATGGAGAAGAGCAGCCACAGACAGACAAGGGTGGAGGCAAAAAATAAAGGAGGCCAAGGCTCATTTTGGGCTGTAGTGCCGTAGAAGAAGAAGTATTACGGGTCAAATGTTGTTTATATACAGCAAACAATGTACCATATATATCTATATACCTAATTCTGTTTCTCTTTCTGCTCTTTCTTACAGTATTGTGCGAATTAATGTGAACAAACAGAATTAATTTTTAAATATGATTTATTTAAGCCAAAGGTAAATATAGGTACACTTACATGAGATTTTTTCATTAATTAGTATTTAATATGTCCTCCTTTTAATTTTATTACTTCCTGAAGTCTTCTAGGCATGGAATCCACAAGTTTTTTGCAATTGTTGAAGAAGTATTTCATTCATCTTGTTAAAAAATTGCAGTCTCTTTGGCCTGTACTTTGTCAAGCTCTATAGCTAAGCGTTGCCCTAGCATGGTTTTGTACTTTTCACTGTTCATCATACCTTCAATAGGAGTCAGTTCCTGAGTATGAAAAACAGCCCAGAACATTTTTTTGGTGGGATGTTTAACTGTTTGGTTAATATGGCTAGCTGAAAGTGACTCATTGGCTGCCTTTCGTACGAATTTTGATCACTGGTCCTGCACTAGGAAGTAAGTCTCATCAAAAAATAACACTTTTTTCCAATCTTCTGCACTCCAATTAGCGTATTTTTTTGCCGAATTTAGTCTTTTTTTCATCATAGGCGCTGTCAGAAGTTGTTTCTTCTGCGGTCTCACGGCTCTTCTCCCTCCTTCTAAGAGACGTCTGCATATCTTTGAGTTGTGAATTTTTATTCCAGCCTTTTCTAAATCTTGCTGGAGGTCACAACTTGTTTTTCTGGGATGAAGTTTGCTATCACGTAAAAGAAAGGTTTTATCTCAAGGAGTAGTCTTTCGTTTTCTTCCACATTTTCCTTTCCGCTGCACTTCAACTAACCCTGTTTCCTTTTTTTGTTTAATTATTTTGTTTACTGCACCCAAACTTACACAACACTCCTTTGCAATGTCCCCCTGAGTCATTGGTGTATGCTCACTAAGTGTTA